ATGGATCAACGAGGGTCATACACCAAATAAATTTTGGCAGGATGAAACTGTTACAAGTCAAAGGCACGCTTTTGTAAATAACTTATCTACTGGCTTAAACCCACCATCAGGAAAGGGACGCAGGCTGATAATAGTACACATTGGCAGTTCAGACGGTTTTGTTGAAGGTGGTTTATTAACTTTTGAATCAACTCGTACCGGTGACTACCATGAAGACATGAACGCTGATGTCTTTCAAGAATGGTTCGAACAAATGATAGATCTTCTTCCTAAGAACTGTGTAATAGTAATGGATAATGCAAGTTATCACTCCAGACTTATAGAAGGACTGCCCACAACCAAGTGGTTAAAAAAAGACTTGCAGAATTAGCTGAGTTCAAAAAATATTACGTACCATCCCGGATCTATAAGAAAGGAACTTTATTCGTTGTGTGCCCTTCATAAAGAAAAATTTAAAAAATACGAAATTGATGAAATTGCCAAAAATCGTGGAATGACAGTACTTAGATCCCCACCATATCATTGTGAATTAAACCCGATTGAACTGGTATGGGCACAGAAAAAGAGTGAAGCTTCAAGAAAAAATAACACTTTTAAAATTCATGATGTTAAACAGTTGTTTTTGGAGGCCGTAAATAATGTAAAAACCTGAAAACTGGGAAAAGGCAGTAAATCACACTATTAAAGAAGAGGAAAAAATGTGGAAGCTGGACAATATTACTGATAAAATGATCGAGCCAGTTATTATAAATCTTGGTTCTGAAAGTTCATCTTCTGAATCTGATTTGGATTTGTAACAAGTAGCTGTAAGTTTTATATTAATATTTTTTATTCATCTATTTAACATACCTTAGAGGGTTTTAAAAACTCTTTTTCTCTTTTGTAATTTTTAAAAAATTAAAAAAAAATGTGAATTTTTTAAAACCCTTTTTAATGTAGGCCAGTCAGTTCTAATATAGTGTGTGATAAAAGAGGTCACTTTTGTTTACATACACATAACACTTTATAACACTGAAATAATTCATTTATTTTTACAATTATTCAAAGTAATTTTTCAATTAATCTTGAGCACGCCCATGGAGTGGTCGGAGGTAGGCCAGTTAAAATTATGCTAATTACTTTCTCGTTCATAAAAATAAACTATAATTAATACGTTTTACATTTTTTTTCTTCTTAATTTCAATACTTTTACCATAATAATATCTTAAGATTCTATATTATCGTCAAAATAATATTTCTTAAAATCTAATTAAGAGAGATCTATAGTATCAATAATAACACTGGATAATTGGAATCAATATCTTGTGAAATAGGAAAGTAAATGAACGTGAAATACGGCGATACCGAGTTATTTTCCGTGTCACCACCGAATTCCATGACAATTTGGATTTAGGTTCTACTTATCTTCCACTTCACTTTTCGACTTGTGCCATTGATTGCTTTTTATTTTTTTAGAAGTAAAACCTACCCATACTAGAAAAAATCGTATAATTGTAAATTAAAGCAGACGATTGATTGAAATCATCTTTTATTGAAGTGAATGGAAGTCAATTAACATTATACAACATAATTTAACATAAAATAACTTAAAATTTTATCATAGTTTAACCCCTAAACCCCACCCACTAGAATAGTTATAATTAAAACAGTGTCCTTGTACAAATAAAGGAGGCAATTCTTTTTATTCTTACGTAGAGTTCCTACAACGCTTAGTGTATGATTTTACAATAGCTTTTCCACTAAGAGTATACTCATGAACCAATTATCTAGCGTAATATTTCCTCCTGGATTCACAATTGGTTGAATAAGTCGCTCAACAACAGAAGAAGCTGAAGTTTCTACAAAAAACGGTACTTCTGGCTGACGTCAACGTAAAAGATGCTGTCGAACAGACAGCTAAACTGAAATTGAAATGGGCTGGACATAATGGACGTCTTAAGGATGGCCAATGGGATAAGGAAATCGGAAATTGGCGGCCATATAAAGCCAAAAGACCACGAGGAAGACCGTAAATGTGCTGGAGCGACGATATTTAAAGACCAAAAGACTGCAGGACCAATGTGGAAACGTCTTACAAACAACATAGATGAATGGCGAGAATTAGGAGAGATACTAAAGATCATCAATCAAATGATATTTATCAAATAAATTGTAAATACTGTAATTCAACGTATATTGGGCATGCATACATACCAATACCTGCATAGAAAGGTTTTTGGACACAACCATATTGTTTAAACTAACAGATTAAACACAACAAACTTAGACAAAGATTCTCTAGAATATAGCCATTCTTTTAATTTTGAAAATGTTCCAATTTTGGAAAAAGAACAACCTGCATACAAGGGTTGTTGCACACAAACGCAGTATACAATCCAACAGATTAAGCACAACAGCCCTAGACAAACATTCTCTAGAAAATAGTCATTCCTTTGATTTTTGACAACGTACAGGTTTTGGAAAAAGCCAAAAGTTACAACAAAAGATGCATATTGGAGATGATTCACATAAAAAAGATCTAAATATCTATCAATAGTAAGACTGACTGACAAAGATATTTCCAAATATGTATAATAATTTAATAAATTGAGTTGTTTTTAAATGCACCATGGCGGATATTTTACGATACGACCCTGAACCACTCGTTTTTTTAGTATACCTGTGAGATGTCGTCTGTCAATGTAAGATACCAATTTTTCAATCCATGTTAAACTTTTAAAGAGTGTAAACATGAAATATAATTGTGTAATGTAATGTTTATAAAATAAAGTGCTTATTGAAAATGAAAAAAAAAACCGAAACGTTTAAGTAAGTATTTTTATTTATAACAGACCGGACAAACCCAGGAAATAAAAAGTTTCTATTTAATATATATATATATATATATATATATATATATATATATATATATATAATATAAAATTATTGTTTCTTGGGTTTAGGTTCAATAAAGATATGTTACATGTGGAACTAGATTTTATTTTCCATTGCAATCAATCAACGTTTCGGCAGGAAACCCTTGCCTTTGTCAAGATTCTAAAATGTGTATATATATAAGGACAAACAGATATTTTAAAATATGTATATATATATATGACTTACCAAAACGTAAAACGTGACACAGACATTAACGAACTGACATATAAAAGTTGATATCTGATATCTCATTGTTTACTGTCATTAGTATATAATTATTTTTATATGAGCGTATCGTTGATGTTTTCGAAAAAGGTAAGGTGGAGATATGTTATGACTTTAAGAGCTTTTTATGATGTTATATTATTATTGTTTAAATCAGATTGAAATATATTTTTATTTAGGTTTTGTGTATCTTTTTTGTCATTTATTGCGTTGGTGTTTCTTTTTATTTCTATTGATTCGTATATCTCCCTCTTCTTTTTGTTTTTTTCTGTTTTTAAAATTCTGATGTTTTCAAAATCAAATTTATGCTTCTTCCCGCTTTCATGTTTTGTGAGCGCAGTGACGTTGTTCTTGTCGTATTTGTGAGAACGAATTCTGGATTGAAGCAGTTGACTGGTTTGACCGATATAGACACCTTAACATAACATAACAGTGGCCCACAAAGGCAACAATCTCTTAACTAAATATTTCACAAAACTAAAAACACAAACTCCAAAACTTAAAAAATCACATGTTGTTTACGAGATACCATGTACAAACTGTGAAGGTGTCTATATCGGTCAAACCAGTCAACTGCTTCAATCCAGAATTCGTTCTCACAAATACGACAAGAACAACGTCACTGCGCTCACAAAACATGAAAGCGGGAAGAAGCATAAATTTGATTTTGAAAACATCAGAATTTTAAAAACAGAAAAAAACAAAAAGAAGAGGGAGATATACGAATCAATAGAAATAAAAAGAAACACCAACGCAATAAATGACAAAAAAGATACACAAAACCTAAATAAAATATATTTCAATCTGATTTAAACAATAATAATATAACATCATAAAAAGCTCTTAAAGTCATAACATATCTCCACCTTACCTTTTTCGAAAACATCAACGATACGCTCATATAAAAATAATTATATACTAATGACAGTAAACAATGAGATATCAGATATCAACTTTTATATGTCAGTTCGTTAATGTCTGTGTCACGTTTTTACGTTTTGGTAAGTCATATATATATACATATTTTAAAATATCTGTTTGTCCTTATATATATACACATTTTAGAATCTTGACAAAGGCAAGGGTTTCCTGCCGAAACGTTGATTGATTGCAATGGAAAATAAAATCTAGTTCCACATGTAACATATCTTTATTGAACCTAAACCCAAGAAACATTAATTTTATATTAAATATAATACGGTTCAAGAAACTCAAAACTACAATATATATATATATATATATATATATATATATATATATATATATATATATATATATATATATGTCTATGAAATTACATTTTGTAATTGATTTTTTACTTTTAATATTCTTTTAACTCTAAATTGAAATGATTATATAGTCAAGGTTTTCAATATTTTAAACAAGTTTGATATAAATATGAGAAGTAGTTCAAACTCGATAATGTGATTATTAAACCGTACTAAAAATAGTCAGGAATTAGCGAATTACCTTGTATATCGTCGTGGAACCTTGTGAAGTCCGTCTCTGGCGCCTCTATGGCGCCACTTATCCCTACCAGAAGTCTAGACCGGTCTCACTCTAGCGGTGGCTTCACGATATACAATATACAAACTCGAAACTCGTCGTCGCGGCCGAGCAAGGCAAACATCCAACATCAAATACGAATACGGCTGGCCTGCCAGTTGACTAGAAAACGTCACACGGAGAGGAGCTAATAATTACGATCGGGATCGCGAGTTTCGTATGTTACCGGCTGAAAACAAGTGAGAGAGTGCAAGTGTGTGGTGCTAGGCCGGTAAAAGTGTGTGTAATAGCAGCAATAATAAATAATAGTGGCCCCCAAATGCTTACCGTGCGTGGAATCGAAATCCTCTTTGATGTTCATGTTTCGCAGCAAGAAGACAAACCTCACTAAACGCCTGGTAAAGGCCAGAAAACGGAGAGGCAATGAAGCCAGGCGTACGGTTGAGGAAGAAGCGGAAATTGGCGTCGTGAACCTCTTGAAAAGACTCCAGGAGAACCAACTCGAGATGCTCCTGCGAGCGATAGAAACCAGAGGTCAAGATTTGAGCCATTGCGTACTGTTGCCGCGGACACAAGGAGAAGAGCCACACGTGTTGTTCTGTCAAACGTGGAGATGGCCAGATTTGAGAAAGGGCAGCGAACTGAGAAGGTTGCCGATGTGTAGGTCGGCATGTGATCTTGTCTATGATTGTTGCAATCCTTACCACTGGAGCAGATTGTGTCAGCCTGGTGAGTACAAACTTGGCATACATTAAAAATAACAAATATGCAAACCAAAACAAATATTTCAAAATTGTTCCAGTATATTATTACATTGATTCTGAACTTCTAATAATATATCCAATGTAATTTCTCATTTTAAAATATATCAATAGTTCTATTGCTTATACTTTTTTACCAGAAAATATTAAGATTTTCGTTTTCTAAATTAAATTCATCAGATTCAAATGGTTTATACTTTTTTTCATATATGGTCTGTGAAGTGCTTTATTTACTTAATAAATCTTGATATCATTTCGAAGAGATTTGTTAGTCTCGTATATTTGCTATTATATTGCTGAACTCTACAGGGGCATAGTCTTTGATGAGCAAAAAATACAATTTGTAGAGGAAGAAAATAAAATTACCGTTACTTACCATCGTTGAGGTTGTATTATGATAAAATATTATTGAAGAAAATATATATATTTAACAAAAATAGTTAAACGTGATATATGCCTACATGTTTGTTTTTTCCCAACAAGTGTCCTTGCTCAATCGCTAAAACATTGCATTTATAATTGCTAGAGCTCTATTAGTATTTCATCAAATTCAAATTTTTTAAGTTAATTAGGTACAGCATAATTGGTAAGGCAGCACAAAATAGATATAATAATAATTATTATTTATCAAATTATAATAGTGTAATAACATTTATATTAATACTCGTACTGATTTACACCCAAAATGTTTTTGTTTGACCCCTATCACATGCAGATTATATATAATTTTAGTCGCTTCGCCTGAATCTACTGGAGCTTAATGGATACTGTATTGGAAACATCAATTGCTTTACTAATGTTACTGTTTTTACCTTGAGGGACCACTCAAAGAAGAAGTTTCACGCTGCAACCTATAAGATCTATTGTGACCCCCTTTCCTGTCATCTCTGATGCTTTTCTTGTCCTTACAGCACCTCGCAGGGTCCTGTTCCGCCAGGAAAAATTTTGAGGGGCCCCTCAAAGAAGAAGTTTCAAGCTGCAGCCTATAAGATGTATTGGAGCCCCTCTCTAATGGTTCTCTTTTCATTACTGCTACTCACAGAGCCATATTCCTCAGACAGATTTTCTACCTCATTTGCTCCCATAAATAACGTGGTCTGGGGTTCCTTAGGGTACAGTCATCATAGAGTCCGGTTTTTGTGACATCTACTACATTGAATTCAATGCTTTCAGGTACTTCCTCAGTCAAAAGTTCATTTTTGTTTAAACTAAGGCAATCTTTAAATCATGTATAGTTGTAGTACTTAAGCTGTTAATAATTCCGTAAAGGGAACATGATCCTATGAAAGATGTTTTTGCCATTCTTTTGGCTAATTCGTCAGTACTGTCGTTTCATTTCATTTTGGCAATCCTTTTGGCAATTTTCACAGGTTTTCCGAGTACTAGGCCCATACATATTTCTTTTCCTTATTCCTATTTCTTTTGCTGTGTTTTTCTGTATGAGGTATAATTAATGAGATTTTTTTGTAGCTTATAACTTTTAGAATTCTTTTGTTTGTCCAATTTTTCTGCAATTTAACATTGTAATAAATTTATTCAGAAAGGCATAAAAGGCAACTGATATTTGGGACCAAAGCAAAAATTACCAAGAGGAAATTTCAGTAAACTGGAAGAACTTCGATAGTCCGAATCCGTATAGTGCTGGACTAGATAATATATAAAGTTTCTTCTTCTTTTTTAGTACCATTTCTGATTATTAGCTATTGTTGATCCTATTGGTTATAACAAATTTTATTGCGTTACCTTGAAATAGATCAGCTAGTGTCTTAGGTTATCACTATCGGTGATTTCGGAGCCAAAATATTCTTCGTCGACTTGATTTTCTTCTTCCGGCGATCTTGTTGTGTGTTATGAGCTATAGAAGTAGTGATGGATCGTTCACAACTTTACACTGACACGTACAAACTAGTGTTCTAAATTGATCCGAGAACTGTACCTGTCACCTTCCTGAGTAGGAAGTAGAATAATACTTCTTAAGTACTACACCCTTAGAGTACTCCACGCAAATCTGGATGTTGTCAGCCAGTTCATCTTTAACTTTCATTTTCGTTGTTTGATTTTCGTATAACCTTCATGTCTATCTTCTTCTTCAATTGCAATCTCCTCGGCGGAGGTCGGTAATAACGTCTATGTCCAGTTTGTGATATATTCGGTTATGGATGACTTTAAGTACCTAGTAACGTTAGCATATGAGACATCAAGCTAATGGTGTGGTAATCGCTGCATTCTCTTGCGTTTTCTTTTTAGGGAGACAAATAAAATCGATGTTAACCACTCTTTGGGTAATAGCTTTGTGTAAAGCATGTCAGGTCTAGCGCTTTTCCCAGTCTATCAGTCTTCTCTTAATCAATGAGACAGACATATAATTCCTGATTTTTATCTAGTTATCCCTGTGGAAGAAAATTCACTGCAAACAGTGTATCTCAGGTCTTCAGACCTATCCTAAATCCCATTTGGTATTACTTATATCTTCGTGTATTTCTTTGTATTCTATTGTGGATTACTTTTAAAAATAATTTCAAGGCATGACTCATTAAGGCTATGATGCTATGTTCATTGCACTTCTTTACATAGGCTTTTTTGGGAAGCAACAAAAATGTCAATTGGAGCCATTCTTCAGGTATTAATTATATATTAGGTTAAATCGTTCTAGATAGGTACTTAATTTTGAAGAGGGAAAACACAGAATTTTTTATTATTATTTTTTAGTACTTATAAGTTGTTTTTTTATCCTAATATATCTTCTCAACACTAATTGCAACACTTAATTCCGAATCAACCTTGTAGCTTCACCTATCGAACTTTTCTGCAATGCCATAAATAAAATGCATATTGCCATGACAGCAAACAATCAATACTGTTGACATTAAAAACAGATTCTCCGTTTCCATTGAATGAGAAAAGAAGGAACTGGAATTTAATTTTATTACAACGTCTGTTCTTTAATATATGTTACTTGTGTTAAATTTAAATAAAAGATATATCTAAAACTTGGTATGGTAAGCGAATCAACAAAACTCGAGAGGCCTTGTTAAGGTTATGAATTTTGAGTGGATAAGATTCGATTCAAAATAGTATTGGTCTAAAATCGTTATTTCATTCTGGTTTTTCTTTAGAGGTATTGGAAAATTGGCGACCATTTTAATAAATAAAGTATATTCCTTCATAGTAAATGTTGAAATATTTTTATACAAGTAAAAGTCGAAATAATGTAAAATATGATTTTAATCAGAATTGTTTAATATATACCCAACGGATTTAAAGAAAGCATTATTTGGTAGTATGCAAATTGACTTGTTTGTTTTACTTTATATAAGATTCACATAAATTAATAAAAACCATATACGGGAATACAAAAAAGCAAAAAAGAAATAGACTTCTTTTAGGGAGCCGTCTATTATAAGATACCCATTTACCCATTACCCCATGGACGTATAAATAACGTCCATGCATTACCCATTCTATAACTCTGGAATCTCTTAGGATCCTCTAGCATTCTTCTATAATTTAGAATTCTGGGTGTAGTGGCTATATACCAAATGCTTTTGGAGTTATTTGGTAGCCTCCAAAATATGTTTGCCATCTGCGATTTAGTGCCTCATAGTCAATTTATTGCTGATTTACTTCTTACGAAAAGAAAAAAAAGTATTGTTGTAGCTGTTTCCGAGAAGGAATGGGTATTCTAACTTTACGGTGAAGCATAGCTATATCTCCGTAATTTATTTAGCTTATTGCATTTCGACACATCTACAATATTACAATAAACATTACAATAAACGTTAAAATTGACTCGATATAAAAATACTTAAATCATGCCCAGTTTATAGGCAAACGTCGAGGTTGTTTATATAGTTAATTGATTTGATCGTCGCAAACAGGAAGTCTTGGAGAGCCACTCCTATGTGCTTGATAGATTGGACCTCACCGCAGCTGCATGACAATGATGATAGTTTGCCCCATTTGTGCAACATATCTGCACATCAACCATGTTGAGCTCTGATGTGGTTAAGTGTGCACCAGGTCTGACGTGATAGGTCTAATCCAGGAGGTGTCTCTGTGATGCAAGGTATGGCTGTATTTGATTGAGCTGTCAATCATTCATGGATCCATTTGGTGATCATGTTAAACCCTGTGGATGCGGCTGATTCTGCAGTTTGTAATGGAGATTTTCTGTAGCGCAGTGTTGCTTGCATTGCAGTGTTGCACTGTTTCCGTGTTGCTAAATATGTGTGGTGGTAGAATGTCGCTCAGCACTGGTAGCCAATGTGTTGGTGTAGATTTGATTACTCCAGCGATGAATCTCATGGTGTTATTTAGCTGGACATCTATCTTTTTAACGTGAGCACTTTTGATCCATATTGACGCGCAGTATTCATCTACGGAATACACAAGAGCTAAGCCTGAAGACTTGAGTATGGATACCGATGCCCCCGATATTGTGCCGCAGAGCTTGCAAATTATGTTATTTCTGGTTTTTAGCTTCTCGGCAACTGTCCTTAATGTTCTCTAAAGCTTAACGTTCTATCCAAGGCCATGCCTAGATATTTCGGATGTTTATTGTGGTTGAGTCGTGTATTATCAAAATGAACGTTAAGGGTAACGCAGTTACTTCGGTCTTGGAAGCATTGGGGCGAAGTCTCCATTTTTGAAAGTAATTTCCCATAACCTCTAGGTTTTCCGTAAGAATCTCTTCAGCTTCTTCTAGTGACTTTGTTTGGGTTAATAAAACCCAGTCGTCAGCATAGCCAAACTTTGTTGATGTTGTTGTCGGCATGTCTGCGATGTAAAGGCTAAAACGCAGTGGTGCGAGTACCGAGCCTTGTGGCAGACCATTTTTGAGTTTTCTGTGGGTGCTTACTTCGGATCCTATAGTTACTTGAAATACTATGTCGGTGAGCATATTTTCTATTAACCTAGCAGTGAATTTGCAAGGAATAGTACATTGGAGTGTATAAATCATTCCTTCTC